AGGGAAAAGTCTAGAAGGTGGCCAGGAAACAAGAGGTGACGCGGTTCATGTCAGACCTCTCACTTCAAAATAGGGTCTGGGTGATGATTTTTCTTCTGATTTGTTCCTCCTGTTGCTGCGTTCTCTGTTGAGGTCAACTGGCAGTCACAGCTGGCCCTTCTGCGCATGTGGGGCAAGCCAAATCTGATCTGGGCTAGTTTAAGGACTGATGGAAATTTACTGGCATTAGTAAGGTCAGGTTACACCTCTGCCCTACAAAGGAGCTGCGGCAAGGTTCAATCAGAGCCCAGTCTTCTTGGCCTGTTGCACCTAGGTAGAACCTCCAACCAAATAAGAGCAGGCTGGGTGGAGGAAAGAAGCTCCCGATCTCTCAGCTACAGTCAGCAGGAATTTAATCTCTGCAACCTGGAGTTGGAGAAGATGAGAAATGCTGGCAGCCTGCCCTTCTCAATGAGACGTTGTCTCCCTTGATCGGGAGCTGAGAGGAGAGAGAGCCCCATCTTCACTATGCCTGCCCAAAGTTGAGCTTCCTTCACGCTGAGCTGGGAGAAATGGCTCATGGCTCCAGTGCGGATTCTCACTGTTGTTACCACAATTAAGTAGAGTTTCTTGACTAAACGTTTTTTCCTTTCCTGTATGGTCTTAGGACAATTTCCAGAGACTCTAAATGGCTGTTTTTTTTTTAATAATCTTCACCAGTCACAATTGTTTCACTGGGGAATGGATCTATGGGGCGACTCCCGTTGGTATTCCAGAAGCAAAGCGCTATTGTTTTTCAAAGTGTAATGAAACATTATTTCATTGTGGGTCAGGGAGCTTTTGCAGATATTTAAACATTTCTTAGGAAGAAAGGTCTGCTGATCTTCTGAAAAATCAGCTAAGGAAAACCACATGGATCACAATGGTTTTCCCCACCACCAGTCACTGGGTGGTGACTAAGTACCGTTTCCTTCCACGCTGCATGAGGCCACCATGAGTCAAGGGCCGACTGGATGACTGCCAACAATGATAATAAATGTATCTTAATTTTTACTTTGCACTTTTCATTTTATATTTAGTTGTCAATAAATTTTTTTATGGCTCAGACATTTTTATAGGCCCTTGAAGAGTCCATAAGCCCTAGGCACAGTATGAAAACCTGTTGCCATCAAGTCGATTCCGACTCATAGTGACCCTGTAGGACAGAGTACAAGTGCCCCACAGAGTTTCTAAGGAGTGGCTGGTGGATTTAAACTGCCATCTTTTGGTTAGCAGCCAAGCTCTTAACCACTGCACCACCAGGGCTCCAGGCACAGCAGCAATAGAGGCTATAATGGAAAAATGGCTTGGATGGGGTTAATTCGCTTTTGGCAAAGATGAAGACACAACTCCAGGATTTTATCAGACAGGGCAGCATACCCAGTCACCCTCACTGGCTACATCCTATGTGAACAGCAAATACCATACTCAAATTAGTCCTTCTATCTCGCACCAGCAGAGAAGGCAAGCACCCTCGGACACTTTAGTCACTATGCTACTCCACAGTAACGAGGTACGGACAGTTTCTCAGTTTAGTGCTCTTCCAGTTGCCAATCACCAATGCCAACAGTCTACTAAAAGTAGTGACCTGGGCAACAGGTCAAAATCCCAGAGCCCTGGTCGCCAAAACAGCCACCAGCCCAATCTCCAATGGTATAAATAATGCTTCAAAGGGTATTCCTTTTTGCTCCATGGTTCAATTGGGTGTAGCCAAACATACAAAACTGTTTTAGAACAATGATAAAGTAAGATAAAAATAAAATAATTACTTCGAATATGAGAAGATGTGGTAGACAGTGTGCTGAACTGGAAAGGCAAAGGCCTATGCTAAGGATTACTGGGACTGGCCAGCTCCATGACTAAGGGTTTCCACTGACTGCAAGCCCCGTGGGAGCCCTATCCATCAAACTCCTAACGCCATCTGAGATGCATTAGCAGAAAGCCCACGGTGACCTAGGCAGCACCTGCACATATAAACAGCAGCAGAGCAAAAACTGCAGAGAGGATTCCAAAACTGCAAAGGATAGGGCAGGGAAGAGTCAAGTGGGTTTTCCTGTCTGGCGCTGAGATCCTGTAATTGAACCAATGAGACTCCACAGTCCAGTATAAAGGGGAGAGGATGGTCCTCCATGTGTCCTGCAGGGGTCAAAGCAGATCTGGGCACTGTGCTCACACATGAACTGCACATTTTAGGAGGGTCCCTGACAACCTGACAAAATCCAGAAACGAAGGCCCCACGGTGAACCACGTCACGTGAAAAACGTGGAAAATGGAGCTTAGAAGACAAAATAGTTGTCCACAAATAGCACTTTAGAGCCGTCCTTAACAGTGTAAAAATTGCTTGGTACTCATTACTCGAAGTCCATTCCAAAGCACAACGAATTGCTCATTTATTCGGCAGACACCTTACATCTCCTTGGAGTGAGGACCCGTGTTGGGCGGCTGTCTAGGGCACACAGACAAGTAACAAAGAGTCTGGGGGAGAGATAGGATGAGCACACAAATAACGAGAAACCTCAGTACAAGGGAGAGTATGAGGTGTTGCAGAACAAAATCTGCTTTGGAATCAAGAGGCAGGAGTCATTCTGTCCCGCTGGCAGGATCAGAAAAGACACCATGGGGGAGGAGTCACCTTCTCTGTGAAGAAAAATACAGGAAGAATGGCATTCCCCGTGGAGGAAAAAGCAGCAAAAGTTTAGAGGTGGGGCGCAGTGGGACACAGCTGGGATTAGGCACAGAGACAAGCAAGCACGCAGGAGGGAAAGAGATGAGAATCTGCATTTCCACCGCAGATATGTACTGAACCAGAATCGACATGATCTTGTTAAAATGTACATTTTGATTCAGTATATATCTGGGATGTAGATTCTGGGGCAGGTCTACTCTGTCCTATAGGGTCCGTATGAGTCGGAATCAACTTGACGGCAACGGGTTTGGGTTTTGGTGGTTCATCTTTACCGAAGCAGACTGCCACATCCTTCTCCCACAGGGGAGCAGCTAGTGGGCTGGAACCACTGACCTTTTGGTTAGCAGCCAAGCTCTTAACCACAGCACCAGCACCCCGCCTGATAACCATCCAGGCCAACCTCCTCATGTAATAGGTATGAAGCTCCACGCCGGCAGAGGCCCAGTGGTCCGTCCAATATCTACAGCGGCAGAAGGACCCGGGATATGACCAATAACGGAGGCATCTGTACTGCACTTCACAGTTTAGACGTGCGTTCACCCACACTGTGTTCTTTATTGTCACAAACAGCCTTGGAGCTGGGAGGGGAAGCCTTATGAAAATTCCCATTTTCAACCTGAAGAAATGCACACCCAGGGGTTAAGTGACCTGTCCGTGGAAGGATGCAAATCCAGACGGCCACGCCTCCAGCCCACCACTCTTGCCCAACACCACAATTTCACGCACATGCTGGCATTGAGCACAACCATTTCAGTACTCAACATATTCCAAACCCCAAATTCTGCTTTATTTGAAGTTCTTTTCCTATTTCATCCTGCAATACTACTGGACATTCGGCCTTCCGTGCTACGACTCTACCGACCTTTTGTCTTAAAGAAGAGTCAGTTTCAGTGGCATATTTGGCACCAGAAACATTTTTTAAAAACTGATTAATCATCCCGACGTCCGCCTTTCAGCCCAAGATCAGACAGGCCGACAAAACAAACAATTTAACACACCTGAGGAGCCGGATTCTTCGTTCAATCAAGTCCATGAGACCAAGTGGACAACACCTGCCTAAAAGCAAAGCTCAGAAGGCAGGAAGGGACAGGAAAACTGGAGGCATGGACACCGGGAACCCAGGGTGGAAAGGGGGAGAGTGCTGACACATTGTGGGGACTGCAACCAATGTCACAGAACAGTTTCTGCATAAATTTTTTGAGTGAAAAACTAATTTGCACTACAAACTTTCACCTAAAACACATTAAAAAAAAAAAAAAACCTGATTAATCAAAACTGGGCCTTCTCCTATAAATAAATCTCTTTGCAAAGTATAACCCTACATGCATCATAACTGCATCACACACACTGGACTAGGGGCCTCAAAAAGCAATGGTGGCTCACGAATTGAAGCAAGAGTTAACACCCAAGTACCAAGAAGGTAGTTTTAACAAATACATGGAAAACTAAGACCAAAACTTCCTCACTTTAACAAAGAAAATGGATTTGTGTTCACGGAAGACCTCAAAGTGAAGTGAGCAACAGAGAAGATGATCCCAGTAATTCCAGTCATCACATCTCCCGGACCGGAACCTGAATGTGCATCTTTCCCGGGGGAGGCCCAGGGAAGCAGGCAGAGAGGAAAAGCTAAGATGAAATTCGCGGGTAACTGGCTGGGTATCTTCTTTCCTTTAGTACATACGGCCTGTCCGTCCACAGCAACCCTCACTTCAGGGGCAAGGAATGCTGTGGGTGTGGGGCGACCCTTTTTGACTCACGGGAAGGGATTAAAACTGTTCAGTCTCCTCGGGCTTGCGGAGGCCTCTCTTTAGGGTTCACCAGGGGCTTGCAAACACAGAGAGCCCGCGACCCTGTGTCTCAGGTAACCTGCACCCTTCACGTTCTCGTGACCAGGCCTTAGTGGATCCGCAGAAGCTTCTACTGGAAAGCATGGGCGTTCGTTCCTCATTTTCCCCTTAGGTTTCTACGCGTCCCTCTAAACCACTACACAACTCCCCAGCCTTGCCCGCAGCCAGAGGGAGTAACGGATTGTAACCACCCACAGCCCTCAGTGAAGAGGCCAAAAGACTTGACCCCCGCCTGGTGAAGGCACCTGCCCCGCGGCCTCCCCCGGGGCGCGCCAGGTGTGGGGCGCCTGGAGGACCGCGGGTTCCTGCCCCACGTGCCCCGCCGGCCTCCCCAGGGAGGGCGCTGCCCCTGGGCTGCAGGTGAGGACAGAGTGAAGACATGGCCCCAGAGACTACGCCCCACCACCCCAATTCATAAAACGCAAGATAAAAACAAAGGCTTCATTTACCGACATGCGTGATCACTGTGGCCAGTCGCCGGGTGAGCTCCCGGGGGCCCATTTCTTCTTTTAAGCAAAAAGCATCTGATGTCAAAAACCACTCAGTATAAACAAAAGAAAGCAAGGCAAAACTGCGTTTGCTGCCGATACGGGTGATTCCGCAAAGGCATCTCCTCCCGAGGCTGTTCAGCTCTCACGCGCTTCCTCGCTCTCTTCAGGCGTCCCACGAGGGCCACTCGCTGCAAAGGCCGACCCTCCCGGCCGCTGACGGCGCGGACGCCAGCCACGCCCTGCAGACTCAGGCTGGCAGCTTTCCAAGCCGAACGTCTGGCATTTAGAATTATCGAGGGCGCAGTTACGGAGGTGAGGCGGAGATGGCGAGAAAAGCAAGCGGCCCCGATCCCGCTCTCTCTCACAGCGTCCCAGGCCTCTCCGGACGAGGAGAAGCGGTGGTTTCTGTCTGTAAGCTGGGCCGCCAGGTTCCCGGCGCCGCCTCCCAGGGAGGTCAGGTGGAAGGACGCCGTGCCCGGCGCGCGGAGGGACGCCAGCGCCGAGGCTGCGCGCGCTGGGGGCGGGGCGGAGACGGGGTGGTGGTCCGGGCCCCTCTGCACCGCCCACCCCGCGCCGGCTGCACCTCCGGCTCAAGCGCGCCTGTGCCCGGCTCCGGGGCGGCGCGGGGCTCCTGGGGAGGTGCGCAGCGCCCGAGTGCCGCCCGTTTTCAGGACAGGGAAGCTGCACCCCTTCCCTTCCGGGAGTCCATGCGCTCGGGGGCGACTCTCGGTCTGTCCTCGGGACCGCTGGGGAGAGGAGACAGCAGCTTTAGGCGCTGCAGCCAGCGCAGGGATATGCGCGCCGTGCTTGTCTCCGCTTCTCCAGGGGCGCTCCTGCTCCATCCCGGCTACGTGAGGCCCTGTTGCCCGCCCCCATCTCCTGACTCCAGGCTGGGGGGCTGGGACGGTGGCGGGCAGAGAGCGGCTGGAGTTGGTTTTCCCCGATTAGGGGTTGCCTCAGGCACTCGCAGCCCGCAGCGCGGGCTGGGCACGCTTGTGCGCTCGCAGGTCTCCACCATGTGAACCTTTTCCTTTTAGCAGCTACTCCCGTGCGCCAAGGCTCAGTCTGCCACCTGTCAGGCGCGCCCATACTCCTTAAAGGATCTGGCACATCCTCCATGCCGTCCCACCTTCCCACCAGCCCCACGGGCATCTTCTCCGAAGGGCTGATGGTAGACATTGTCCGGAAGCTTCTTTGGGTGTCTCCAGACAGACAGCAAGACTAACTCCGTTCGATCGAGCTCCACCAGGAAAGACTGAACAAACAGGAACTTGGTCAGGTTGCCCCCAGTCTATTCTACAGACAGGAGACAATGACTGTCCGGCCAGCGGCGTGTCAGAGCCACCCGCATATTCTGAGCCAAGGCCAGGACTCTCACCTGTCCCTTCCCGCTTCTACATGTAAATAGCTCAGCCCCAAACGCCCAGGATCCAATTTCTAGCAGTGCCTACTCACCCCAGAGGTTTGGAGGCATTTTAAAATGCATTCCGTGACGCCGTTGTGCAGTGTGATAGCCCACTTACGAGATTTGAGGAGGGTGTGAGGTTTGGGCCGTTTGCGCTCTGCCTGCACAAGAGGAGCAGCCGTGTTCATACCAACGTCTGGTAAACATTTCAGAAAAGGATTAAGGACCCAAGGGAGTGAGACAGCTTTGGATTGTGTTTCCATGGTGATTTCTGGCCATTCAGTGGTCACAGGTACTTTCCAGGAACCAAACGAGATGTTTTCTGTTGTTTGTAGTCAAAACCCTGATGCCCAGTCAGAGCCAATTTGAGGGGCAGTTTTGGTCATCAGAAACCAACCATTGCTAAGAAATGGGTGATGGGGGTGAGGGAGGCATGCCCGGCTGGGAAAGATCTAGATCCATTTTGAAGATCCAGGACCTCAGCCTCCTGGGTTAGGCCAGGTCCGTATGAGAGAATCAGACGGAAAGAGGGAATGGAGGAGAGGAAGAGGAAGCAGAGGAGCTTATGGATAGGAAGGAGAGAGAATATGCAAAAGATAGGAAGAAAGTCATACTCAGAGTGAGGCTCTCCTTTCCCAGTCCTCTGCGCCTTCAGAGGTTTCCATGGAGATAAGTTACCTGGAGCCAATGGCAGGATATAGCAAGCAGTGCCTGTCCTCAGAAACTAATTCTGTCCCCATCTCTAGCACTTGCTTTCCCAGAGCTGCTGTTGCTTCGCCTGTGCTGTGAGGGGGTAGGTCTATGATCTCCACATTCCCTTGTCCAGAAATTCCTAACTGTGACAGAGAAGAAATGACCACATGATGTTCAATAGCCCACGCCTCCTTGTTGCTCAAAGAGAACGGTCATTATCTCCATTGCTCTGTGAATACTCAAAATATTCTTCCTTTCCCTCCTGCTCCCCACCCTCTGTCTTCCCTACCTCCTTTTCCCCCTCCTAATTATGTTTAAGGAGCCCTAGCAGTGCAATGGTTAAGCACTTGGCTGCTAACCAAAAGGCCAGTGGTTCAAACACCCCAGAGGCTCCATGAGAGAAAAGACCTGGAGATCTGCTCTTATAAAGATTACAGCCTAGGAAACCCTATGGGACAGTTCTACTCTGTCTTATAGGGTCTCTATGAGTTGGAATCAGCTCAACAGCACACAACAGTTATGATCGATTTCCCGTCTCCTTGGCAGCCTCTGCTAAATCACATTGCTTCTTTCTATGGCAAAATCAGAGGAACAAGCAAGCATAACCCACCCCTCACCAATGAATCAATTAACAATCCGTCATGATTATTGCTCGTCTATTATATGCCCAAGGTTGTGATAGGCAGGTACAGCAAGCACCACCACCATATATTAGGTGCCTGCTCTGTGCCTGGTGTGATGTTAGGCATTTGACAAACATCATTTAAGCCACATAACAACCCTTTAAGGATATTAGCTCGTTGTACAGGTGCTGCTTGTGTAAGGACCCCACTTTGCGTAGTAAGAATCTAGGCCATTCTCTGCCTCCAGGTAAGAATTTGCCTGAGCTTAGAAAAAAAGAATGATCCTCCAAGCAATGCCAAGAGCTAGAGTCTGCCTTTATTGGTGGACTATCAAATGAAGAGGAAGACAGAGGACCCACTGTGGAAAGTAATGCAACAGGTATTATGACCTCCTCAGCTCACAGTGCCATGGGTGACTTGGCTGATGTCTGAGGTGCCACTGGGGCCATTCAGTTTAGTCTAGATCAATGGTTCTCGTATTTAGCAGAATCACCTGGAGGACTTTTTAAAAGGCTGAGTCCCACCCTCAGAGTTTCAGATTCAGTAGTCCTGAGTAAAAAACCCCTTGCCTCAAGTCGATTCTGACTCATAGTGATCCTACAGGGCAGAGAAGAACTGCCCCATAGAGTTTCCAAGGAGTGGCTGGTGGATTCGAACTGCCAACTTTTTGGTTAGCAGCAGAATGCTTAACCACTGCAGAATTTGAATCTCTAGCAAGTTCCCCGGTGGTAATTGATGCTGGAATGGACCGCACTTCGAGAACTGCTGGTCAAGAGCAGTGGTCTTCAAACGTCTCAGTCTGCAAACCACAGGAAGATGTAAATTTTACATGATGACATAGTAGACACACACATGCTTAATTAAAGTAGAAGTTGTACAGAACATTTTTTGCCTTGCTACATGCGAAGTTCTGAAATATTTTCTATTCTATTTTTATGTCATTTTTAAACAATGCTCCAAACTGGGGAGATTTGAATATGGACAGAGTATTAGATGATATTAAGGAAGCAGCATTAATTTTGTTAGGTATAATGATGATGGACGATGAATAAGGAAGACTGAAGAAGGATTGATGCCTTTGAATTGTGGTATTGGCAAAGAATATTGTGTATACCATGGACTTCCAGAAGAACAAACAAATCTGTCTTGGAAGAAGTAAAACCAGAATGTTCCTGAGAAGCCAGGATGGCGAGCCTACCTCTCACATACTTTGGATGTGTTATCAGGAGGGATCAGTCCCTGGAGAAGGACATCATGCTTGGTAAAGTAGAGGCTCATCGAAAAAGAGGAAGACCCTCAACAAGATGCATTGACATAGTGGCTGCAACAATGGGATCGAGCATAACAACGATTGTGAGGATGGTGCAGGACTGGGCAGTGTTTCGTTCTGTTGTACGTAGGGTTGCTATGAGTCAGAACCAACTCGACAGCACCTAACAATAACGATGATATTATGATTATGTAAGAAGATGTCCTTATTTTCTTAGCGATGTATGTTGAAGATTTTAGGAATGAAACTTCATATTGCCTGTAATTTAAACTACCTTAGCAAGACTAAATGAGGTAAATAATATTAGTAATTCTCAGTCACCTTTCTATTTCCTCAGACCAGGGCTTTGAACCGGTTCATTCTGGTTCGACCCCCTGCTGAGAATTTGCATTTCCACCCCAGATATACTGAATCAGAATCTACATTGTAAACATGATCCCCAGGTATATTTTAACAAGATCCCCAGGTGGGTCCTTGATCTACAGAATCTACACAAATGTAGATTCTGATTCAGTATATCTGGGGTGGAAATGCAAGTTCTCAGCAGGGGGGTAGAACTGGAAAGAACCAGTTCTAAGCCCTGCCTGAAACTAGTCTGTCTTCCTGGCACAAGAGTGCATGCCTGCCTCCACTCTGTACTCCCACTCCCCTCCACCACACATATCCTATCTTACTGTTAATCTTATTGTTAGAATAATGCATTTCCTTTATAGGACATTTTAGCAAAGCACAGAAAACTATAAAGAAGGGGTAGGGAGGAGTAGGCCTGGAGAATCAACCATAATTCCACCATCCAGAGGTAAAACAATTTGGGATTAAAAATATATATATTTGATGTATTTTGAATAGCTAAAGCATGCATGGAGTACGAAATTCAAGAGTCGAAAGAGTATACAAGTAAGAATTCAAGAAAAGGTTTAAATACAGAAAAAAAGCATTCTTTTATGGTTACAAGGGTGGGGAGGGAGGAGGAGGGAAATTCACTAACTAGACAGTAGAAAGGATCAGCTTCGATGAAGGGAAAGACAACACACATTACAGGCAAGGTCAGCACAACTGCACCAAAGTAAAAGCTAAGAAGTTTCCTGGACACATCTAAACACTTTGAGGGACAGAGTAGCTGGGGCTGGGACCTGGGGACCACAGTTTTGGGGGACACCGAGGTCAATTGGAATAACAAAGTTTATTAAGAAAATGTTCCGCATCCCACCTTGGTGAGCGACGTCTGGGATCTTAAAAGCTTGTGAGCAGACATCTAAGATGCATCAATTGGTTCCATTCCGCTTAGAGCAAAGGAGAATGAAGAACACCAAAGACACAAGGAACATATTAGCCCAAGAGACTAAAGGATCACATAAACCAGAGTCTCCACCAGCCTGAGACCAGAAGAACTAGATGGTGCCTGGCTACCACCAATGACTGTCCTGACAGGGAACACAACAGAGAGTCCCAGACGAGGCAGGAGAAAAGTGTGCAGCAGAACTCCAATTCATGTAAAACGACTAGACTTAATAGTGTGACAGAGACTGGAGGAACCGCCGAAACTATGGCCCCTGGACGCACTGTTAACCCGGAACTGAAACCATTCCTGTAGCCTGTTCTTCAGACAAAGATTAGACAGGACTATAAAACAAGAAAACAATGTGAGGAGTGTGCTTCTTAGTTCAATCAGATACCTGAGACCAAATGGGTGGCTCCTGTCCGGAGGCAGGATAAGAAGGCAGGAAGGGACAGGAATTTGTTGAATGGACACAGGGAACCTGGGGTGAAAAGGAGGAGTGTGTGGGGATTGCAACTAATGTCACAAAACAATATGTGTATAAATTTTTGTATATTAACTTGAACTGTAAACTTTCACCTAAAACAACACACACACACAAAAGAATACACAAGGCAAAAGAATTCCCCCTACCCCTTTCTCGGAGCCACCAGGTTTTCCTTCCCAGAGAAAATATCAGAGCACACATGGATATATTTGTGTGTTTTCTTTTGATTTTTTATACAAATTATAGCACGATGTACACATT